GTAGTAGTAGTAGTAGTAGTAGTAGTAGTAGTAGTAGTAGTAGTAGTAGTAGTAGTAGTAGTAGTAGTAGTAGTAGTAGTAGTAGTAGTAGTAGTAGTAGTAGTAGTAGTAGTAGTAGTAGTAGTAGTAGTAGTAGTAGTAGTAGTAGTAGTAGTAGTAGTAGTAGTAGTAGTAGTAGTAGTAGTAGTAGTAGTAGTAGTAGTAGTAGTAGTAGTAGTAGTAGTAGTAGTAGTAGTAGTAGTAGTAGTAGTAGTAGTAGTAGTAGTAGTAGTAGTAGTAGTAGTAGTAGTAGTAGTAGTAGTAGTAGTAGTAGTAGTAGTAGTAGTAGTAGTAGTAGTAGTAGTAGTAGTAGTAGTAGTAGTAGTAGTAGTAGTAGTAGTAGTAGTAGTAGTAGTAGTAGTAGTAGTAGTAGTAGTAGTAGTAGTAGTAGTAGTAGTAGTAGTAGTAGTAGTAGTAGTAGTAGTAGTAGTAGTAGTAGTAGTAGTAGTAGTAGTAGTAGTAGTAGTAGTAGTAGTAGTAGTAGTAGTAGTAGTAGTAGTAGTAGTAGTAGTAGTAGTAGTAGTAGTAGTAGTAGTAGTAGTAGTAGTAGTAGTAGTAGTAGTAGTAGTAGTAGTAGTAGTAGTAGTAGTAGTAGTAGTAGTAGTAGTAGTAGTAGTAGTAGTAGTAGTAGTAGTAGTAGTAGTAGTAGTAGTAGTAGTAGTAGTAGTAGTAGTAGTAGTAGTAGTAGTAGTAGTAGTAGTAGTAGTAGTAGTAGTAGTAGTAGTAGTAGTAGTAGTAGTAGTAGTAGTAGTAGTAGTAGTAGTAGTAGTAGTAGTAGTAGTAGTAGTAGTAGTAGTAGTAGTAGTAGTAGTAGTAGTAGTAGTAGTAGTAGTAGTAGTAGTAGTAGTAGTAGTAGTAGTAGTAGTAGTAGTAGTAGTAGTAGTAGTAGTAGTAGTAGTAGTAGTAGTAGTAGTAGTAGTAGTAGTAGTAGTAGTAGTAGTAGTAGTAGTAGTAGTAGTAGTAGTAGTAGTAGTAGTAGTAGTAGTAGTAGTAGTAGTAGTAGTAGTAGTAGTAGTAGTAGTAGTAGTAGTAGTAGTAGTAGTAGTAGTAGTAGTAGTAGTAGTAGTAGTAGTAGTAGTAGTAGTAGTAGTAGTAGTAGTAGTAGTAGTAGTAGTAGTAGTAGTAGTAGTAGTAGTAGTAGTAGTAGTAGTAGTAGTAGTAGTAGTAGTAGTAGTAGTAGTAGTAGTAGTAGTAGTAGTAGTAGTAGTAGTAGTAGTAGTAGTAGTAGTAGTAGTAGTAGTAGTAGTAGTAGTAGTAGTAGTAGTAGTAGTAGTAGTAGTAGTAGTAGTAGTAGTAGTAGTAGTAGTAGTAGTAGTAGTAGTAGTAGTAGTAGTAGTAGTAGTAGTAGTAGTAGTAGTAGTAGTAGTAGTAGTAGTAGTAGTAGTAGTAGTAGTAGTAGTAGTAGTAGTAGTAGTAGTAGTAGTAGTAGTAGTAGTAGTAGTAGTAGTAGTAGTAGTAGTAGTAGTAGTAGTAGTAGTAGTAGTAGTAGTAGTAGTAGTAGTAGTAGTAGTAGTAGTAGTAGTAGTAGTAGTAGTAGTAGTAGTAGTAGTAGTAGTAGTAGTAGTAGTAGTAGTAGTAGTAGTAGTAGTAGTAGTAGTAGTAGTAGTAGTAGTAGTAGTAGTAGTAGTAGTAGTAGTAGTAGTAGTAGTAGTAGTAGTAGTAGTAGTAGTAGTAGTAGTAGTAGTAGTAGTAGTAGTAGTAGTAGTAGTAGTAGTAGTAGTAGTAGTAGTAGTAGTAGTAGTAGTAGTAGTAGTAGTAGTAGTAGTAGTAGTAGTAGTAGTAGTAGTAGTAGTAGTAGTAGTAGTAGTAGTAGTAGTAGTAGTAGTAGTAGTAGTAGTAGTAGTAGTAGTAGTAGTAGTAGTAGTAGTAGTAGTAGTAGTAGTAGTAGTAGTAGTAGTAGTAGTAGTAGTAGTAGTAGTAGTAGTAGTAGTAGTAGTAGTAGTAGTAGTAGTAGTAGTAGTAGTAGTAGTAGTAGTAGTAGTAGTAGTAGTAGTAGTAGTAGTAGTAGTAGTAGTAGTAGTAGTAGTAGTAGTAGTAGTAGTAGTAGTAGTAGTAGTAGTAGTAGTAGTAGTAGTAGTAGTAGTAGTAGTAGTAGTAGTAGTAGTAGTAGTAGTAGTAGTAGTAGTAGTAGTAGTAGTAGTAGTAGTAGTAGTAGTAGTAGTAGTAGTAGTAGTAGTAGTAGTAGTAGTAGTAGTAGTAGTAGTAGTAGTAGTAGTAGTAGTAGTAGTAGTAGTAGTAGTAGTAGTAGTAGTAGTAGTAGTAGTAGTAGTAGTAGTAGTAGTAGTAGTAGTAGTAGTAGTAGTAGTAGTAGTAGTAGAATTTATCATTTTGATAGGGAAGGCCCTACAGACGTTGCCGTCTTGTTACAGGGAACCCTAAGTGCTCTTTACAGAGTGCAGCGACGGTGCGAAAAATGCCCCAAACTGGGCCAAAGGCCCAAACGCGTCCTGCTCCAGCGATTTCGTTTCTCTTGATCGCAGAGTTTCGATTTGTTTGCTGCGTGCTCTTGAAAATATCACAAGTGAAGCCCCTGCAAATTTGAGCAAATCAGCGTGACGAAAGTCTCAAATTCTCGATACTCGAGTCGCACTGCGCGCTTTTGAAATTGCGAGATCACGGCTCAAGTTACGAACGATTTATCTCAAGAGCTATTAATTGCTCGCAGCGCGCCGCAAATTGTTCCAACCGACCGCTGAGAGTTTTCTATTCGACCTGGATATTTGGATAGTTGGATTTGAGCCAGATTTGACTGAGTTACGATCTGTTGAAGTTTTGCATTCTTGCCAGATCGATCGTGCGCCCTACCAAAATATGCCCAAAAACGTTGCTCGTTTGGAACATTTGGGGGGTTTCCGGGCAACGGGAAACCCCCCCTGCGTACGCGCCTGCAAGAGTTGGTGGAAAGCAGCAAGAAAGTCTGCTCCAGCGTGGACTAGCATATCCGGCAATATGCCCGATTCACCACCAGCTTTACCGAGGCTCAGCTTCTTGAGAGCACGGCTAATTTCTTGGTGCGTGGGCGGGTTATCTAACTCATGGCGGGTAGGACGGCGTTCCAGGGACTCCAGCGAACTGTCGGAAAACTGACTTGTGATGTTGAGGACACCATCAAAATGCCGCTGCCAGCGGTCACAAGTCGCAGCAGGGTCGGTCGTAAGGTTACCAGTCTCGTCCATCACTGACAAGGGACGTGCTGGTTTACGGCCAACATTCACTTCCTGTAATTGGCGGACACACTCCCACCGCATCCTGCTATGGCAATCCAAGTTGTCAGCATGGGTGGCGACCCGTTCGATTCACGCTTCCTTGGCAGGATTCACGGCACGCTGCACTGCCCTTTGCTGCATACGAAACACCAGCTTGCTATCACGAGTGTCCTTCTGAAGGAACTCCTGGTGTGCCGCATTCTTCCGCTCAATCAGAGGCCTGAGGGTATCTGCGCTGTCACGGAACCAGTCCGGCTGTCGTCGTGTCTCGTATCCCAACACCTCGCTGGAAGCCGCCACCACGCATTTGCGCATTGCCGCCCACTCCTGCTCTGTGTCCACACCACCATCCACGTCCACAGCCTCAGCAGGCAGGAGATCAGACACTTTCTTTGAAAACGCCTTACTCACTTTGTCATCCCTCAGCCTAGCAACAGCAATTGGACGGGATCTTGCAGATGCCACGGGATTAAACCTCTTGTGACCGACCTCGTAACTAAACTTGCCACGTACCATGGAGTGATCCGACCAGCAGTTCGCACCATGCATCACCTGCACATCATGCCACTCACTCCTCTGATCCGCACGGACAACAACATAGTCAATCAGGTGTACCTCCTTCGTAACTGGGTGCATCCATGTGCCATAAAACTTCTTCCTGAACCAGGTGTTCATAACAGAGAGACGGTTTACATTACAAAATACTAGAAGATCCTCCCCAGCAGCGTTGCATTGTCCAATTCCATGTGGGCCAACTACGTCACTCAACGACCTGTCACAAAAGGAATTGACACCCACTCGCGCATTTAAGTCGCCCAGAATCACCAGTCGGTCAGTACGAGGCACTGCGTCGATAACAAGCTGCAGATCGTCCATGAATTTGTTCTTGATGTGTGGGGGTGCTTTCGATGTCGGAGCGTACACGTTCACGACAGTGAGATACGACTCTGCCCTGGCACGATGAAAACCAGTGGGCAACGACCCGTCACCAGCTGATAGATGAAAGCGAGCGCTGACAATTCTTGAACTTACTGCCGACCAAGTCTCGCCCGCGCGTTTCCAGGCCCTCGTCATCTCGTTGTTGAAATAAATTCCAACGCCTTCACCCCGCTGTCCACTCTCGTCATCAACAGGCAGTGGACACCCCGAGTGAACGAATGTTCCTCCACAGGCAGGCCACACATCATACTGGAACCATTTCGTCTCCTGCACGCCAGCAATTCCAACGCGATACCTTTCAAATTCCGAGACAAGCAAATCCAACTTTCTATCAACCGAACACTCTCCAACTCGCTTCCTGCATACGCTGACGTCTCTGCTGGACTCGAGGAGTGTCCTGACGTTCCAGGAGGCCACAAACACCTTTCGTCTCTCAACATTCTTCTTCGCTCTCGCCATAAACAAATTTTGAATTTTCGAATTTCTCCGCGTGAAGAAGTCAACTCGTGCCGTGTGTGTTCAACAAACAGCTCTCAGCAGGGGGCAAGCCTGCTGTAGAGCGCCACTACAGCCATCTCCTGGTCTACACCACACGGAGATGGACTGTGTCCTGTGGCAAACTCAAGAAACAGGAGCACCAAAAAGTGCAACCGTTCTTCTCCAGACCAGAACACACACATACACACACACACACACACACACATGCACACACACACGCACACACACACGCACACACACACGCACACACACACGCACACACACCTGCACACACACACACCTGCACACGCCGCACACACTCGTCTACAGCATTCTTACGTAAGAGTCGAGTGCCGGCGTGGCAGTGGCAGGATGCTATGCACCAGGAGGAGGCAGCATTCTCACTGGCCTAGGTAGACCGGGTAGAGGATACGGTGACGGTGCGTAGCTAGGTAATGCTTGACCAGCAGCCGCTGCTGCTGCTACTGCATGCTGATAAGCCGCTGCGGCTTGCTGATAAGCCGCTTCGACTTGCTGATAAGCCACTGCGGCTTCCGCACACTGACAAGCTAGTCATATGGACCTATGAAGAAGGATCGTGAGCTGCCCATGATTGCCTGCTGCGAAATAAGGATATGTCTGCAGCTGCGTAAGAGGAGAGTAGGCACCAGAAGCAGCAGCAGGAGCAAACACGTTCCAATGTGGCAATGCGTGCATTCCCGGCATTGTGTGCATTCCCGGCATTCCCGGCATTGTCATTGCCTGAGGAGCAGCGTGTCTTGGAGCTAGTGCTGCTGCTGCTGCTGCTGCATTATGATATTGGGCATAGTATCCAGGAGGTATGGAGCGGTCGCGGTGGTCTCTTGTCGATAACGACACCGTTAGTGATGATGATGGCTGCACTGTCTGTGACCGGGTCTGAGGTCTCCTTTGCTCTGCCTGTTGTGCTTCCAATGTACCGTCTTGCTGCTGTTGCTTCTGCTGTCGCTGCTGCTGTCGCTGCTGCTGTCGCCGCTGCTGTTTATTTTGTTTAGGTGTGCGTGAGGAACTATCTTGCTGCTGCTGCTGCTACTGCTCCTGCTTGGGGTGCTGTGGAAGATCATCCTGCTGTGGTGCAATTGTCGGTGCCTGCTGTTGCCGCTGGTGACCAAGAAGCAGTTGCTGCTGCTGCTGCTGACCATCAGTTAGCAGTGGACCACTGGAAAGCGCAAGCTTATCTAACTTGACCAACACATCCCTGTGCTCGTGTGCAAGATCACACAGCTTGTGATGATCCTACAGATGTAAATAAACACATACACACACACACACACATACACGCACCCGGGCACACACACACACACACACACACACACACATGCACACACACACACACACACACACACACGTGCACACACACACACACACACACATGCACACACACACACACACGTGCACACGCACACACACCACACAGCGTATCACATGTATCAAACATGGAAGTCTATGGGTCACACATGCATACTTGCTGCTTGCCTACAAGACTATCTGTCAATCACGTCACATGGCTCAAGCGTAAAGCAAACAATACAGTGGGAACAGCGTACATATACGGGGAGACAGTCGGCACCGCTAGTCAATGTCGTCGGGCGTGACTTCCTGTCCTGTTGTGAACCTCACGATTTGACCAGGCGACTGGTGTACGCATGAGCACGTGACCGCTTACTCGCCCGTGTTCAAATGGGAATAAGGGCCGAACGCTGCATCGTAGCCTTTTCGGACCAAACCAGTCGACGCAGCGTCCAAAAGACTACAACATATGAACCAATCGCGGTCATCCATGCTTTTATATGACGGAAACGGCGCTTTTAGTGACATTTTGCATACAAATCCCCATCTAGTAGGGCGCAGTCACTCAGTTTCGGTGGAAGTGGCGAGTTCGATTGGGAATAAAGGAGGAAGGGAGCGTCTCAGCTTTCTCGGACCAAGACCATTCGACTCAGCACCCCGAAGACTACAACTGGTGATTTTACGGTATACTTCCCCTTTAATAGGGTCGCGGCTGAATTTGGGCTAACGGTCAGTTCATCGAAAACCAAGCTTCTCGTGGCTGGTTCCCACGCCTCTGCAGATGATTGTGCGCCTTTGGAGCTCGCGGGTGTTGATATTGAGTGTGTCCCCAACTTTAAGTACCTAGGCTCCATCATACAGTGTGGCGGGTGATCGTCTTTGGACGTAGATGCTCGTATAGACAGCACTTTACGGGTTTGTCGTGCATTGAGGAGTTCCGTTTTTAACAACCGGCACCTGGATACCCACATCAAGAGATGCGTGTTCAACGCTTGCGTGATGTCGCTATTGCTTTTCGGTTCCGAGTGTTGGACACCTCTCCAACGTGATTTGCAGCGCCTGTCCGTGTTTCACACGAGATGTGTGAGGTCGATTCTTGGCGTATCCCGTTCACAGTGCTGGAGGGATCACATTTCCAACGTACAACTGTTGGAACTGTGGGGTGATCCCGAGCCTCTCAATATCAAGGTTGCGAACCGCCGGCTGGAGTGGTTGGGCGATGTGGTCCGCATGGAGTCGGAGAGGATGCCGCGGCAGGTCCTATTCGGGACCATACTTGCTTGTCACCCGGCCCATGGTCCTCGGCGCCGCTAGAAGGACTGTGCAGTGTCCGATCTCAAGTCCCGTGATCTATATGGTAGCTGGTATGCAAGTGTACGGGAGTCTCGCGCCGAGTGGAGGTCAGTGTACAACTCCACAGACGCTGATGCATCTTCTTCGCACAGCGGACTTAGGGATGCGGCTGCTGCTGCACACAACTGCTCTGTGTGCAAGAGGTCTTTCTCGCGCC